TTAGTTTGAAGTAAAAAAACAAAACGGGAACAAATACAATATTTGTATTTGCATGTGGCCCGCGGGCCGTAGTTTGAGGACCCCTGATCTAAGCCATTGGTGCTATTCTCATGGACATTTCAAGTGACAATTATAGATTTATGTATTGGAAGCCTCATTAGTGGGAGAAGAGGAGGCACTGGTTAGGTTGCACAGTTGATATCTGAATCTCGATTGTTGCTGCAGACTCCCTCCTCTACCTCCCAACCCACAGCACCCAGGTTGATTGCTTACTTGCAATCATTTTTTATTGATTTCAGAGAGGAAGGGAAAGTGAGAGAGATAGAAACATCAATGATGAGAGAGAATCATTGATTGCCTGCCTCCTGCACCGCCCCCTCCTGGGGAGGGAGCCGGAAACCCAGGCATGTGCCCTTGACTGGAATACAACTCGGGACCCTTAGTCGCAGGCTGATGCTCCATCCATGGAGCCAAACCCAGCTGGGGCCTCCACTCATTTTCCAATCCACTTGCAAAGAAAAACAGCAAATGGTGGAGGAGATGGAGTCATCAGGATGAAGAGCCAAGGAGGTATACTGTGGCTCCTTACCCTCCAAACCCCTGGTCTTCCCTCTGTCCTTGAACCCACAAGCTCCCTCCTACCCTGGGCCTCTTCCCTAATACTTTGGGAAGGCTGGCTCTTTAGCTTCATGCCTCCGCTCATTGTCACCTCTGTCACCTTTCCCGGCCCAGCTCTCTAATGTTGTCGTCTGCTTGCTGGCCACTTTATCAGATCATCGTCTTTAATTTTCTCCCAGTCCTTATAGCTCTCTTGTTATTTCTTTATCTGTTTACTTGCTTGCTATTTTACTTGCCTATCAGAAGGTAAGCAGGAGGGTAGGGGCCTGGCCCCTTTCTTACTCTGATGCAGCAAATAAATAGATGAAGTTTCCTTTTCACAGTGGCACACGCTAGGTTTGTTGCCAGTGCCTAGTCCATACCACAGCCCAGTTCATGGGATCTGTAGCTACTAATATTATTTCCTAAACTCTGAAGGTCTACAGAGTACCAGACGACCAGAGGGAAGGGAAGACGGTCAACAGAGAGACTACAGAAGGATAGTCTGTGAAATCTGAGGACTATAAAGAAAAGAGCAAGGGGGTGGGAGGTGGTGGAGGCAGAGGTGAAACAGGAATGGCGGAAAGAGAAAATTGCTGAAGCTGGGAGATGGGTGCTTGGGGTTTCACAATAACATTCTGCTCTAAACTATCTCCCTAGGGTAACTCAGAAGTGGGGAGACAGGGACCTTTGGCCTGTGTACTGTACTGGCACCCAGGTTTGGCTCTTTTCTTTTACTCTTCACTGAAAACAACAACAACAACAACAACAACAACAACAACAACAACAAAGTGAGTTCCCTGAAAGCCCCTGCATCCCAGGGCAGGAAAGATTGAGCTAGGCCCAGGATGGGATTGCCACCAGGAATCAAGGATGCTTTCAAATTGTGAGCGCGATGCTGAGAGGACAAAGGGGGTTGGTGGAAAGGGGTTTCCACTGACTGACAAGCAGTTGCAGCTTCAGCCTCAAAAAAGAGAATCATAGTGTCATTGAAACCAGGTCAGTCTAGGGAAGCTACAAAGCCATAATGACAGGTCAGCATTAAGCCTGACCCCAAGAAATCTGATTCACGCCAGCTTCCTGCCCGGCCAGTGCAGTGAGGGTACTCGTGTTGACCTGGATCTGTTTACTGTCTCCTCAGGAAGATGGTGGAGACTCACATTAGCTGAGGCACCGATCAAAACCCACCTGGAGAAGAGTGACAGGCCTGAGTGACAGTTCTGACCTCCCAGAGTCCTGGGGCCACCAAGGAAATCAGCTTGAAGGGGGGGTGGGAGGCGGGTGGTGGAAAGAAATGGGGTCAGCAAGGGAACTTGGAGGATTCTTCCAAATGGGGTTCAGAATGCTTCACTCCTCTTAGTCTCTAAGATCCATGGCTGGGCCCTGGCCCTCCTCCTTGGGTGAGTACATCTATACATTCTGAGAAGGCATACACATAAGTATGAAAGAGCAAGGCGATGACAAGGAAATGGGCACGGCATTGATTTCTGTGGGCAAGTTATTGGAATTGTTAACCAAACGGTAAAAAGGCCTTTCAAAGTGAGAGGCAACAAACATTTATTTGCGATCAATAAAAACAGCTATTTGTGAGCACCGAGTCTGAGTCGCTGAAGCCCAAACAGTGTTCGGATTAGGAGACAAAGGCAAGGGGTTTTATGAGAAGGGGAAGGGGAACAAGGACATCAACAGAAGGAAGGCATTTCTATTGGTGCAGGAGACATAACACAGTGATGTTAATTCTAAGCCATGTTTTTAGTTTTCCGTCGGGTAGTCATCAGTCCTGCAGCCATAATGACTGCTTTCTTGTTATCTTTGCTGACAGGCCTTTCACAAGCATAGGCTGGCTCGGCCCAGTCCAAGGCTATTCTGCCGGGTGTTAACATCCCTAAGGGGCCAGGCAGCAGGCTGCGCGGCAGTTGCTCTGGCCCAGCAGCTCCAGCTCCGTTTTGAAGTTGCTCCGTTCAATCGCTGCTTACGGAATGCAGGCGGCCTCACGAGTCTCGCCATTACTGCCTATGCTGTGAGTCAGGAGCGCGTCGTCTACATTTAAGACACACAAACCGTTAAAGAGAATTTGATTTTCCACTTTGATGTTTTCTTGGTTTGGCTTCCAGGTTTGGCAGAACAGCCGGGAAATGAGTTGCTTGTCACAGGTGTAAGGGTGCCCCGTCAGGTGTGCAAGAGCGTGCACCCCCTTTTCCAGGCGGACTCGGGCTGTATGGGGGGGACCGGAGCTCGGGCTGGGGTCCCGCGCGCCGGGCTGCTTCTCCGAGGCTCTCGCCGCCTCTGCCCCTGGCCCTCGGCGCGGGCGGGAGCGGCGGGGTCCCCGGGAGGCCGGGGCAGGACCGCTGTGCTGAGCGACTTTACCCCGGGCCCCGTTTCTTCCCCGGTCCCCGGCCCTTGGCTCCATCTACCACTTCCCCTGAGACGCGTCGGGGCCTCGGTGGCCCCCCGCGTGAACGCGACTGTGGGGTCCTCTGCGGGACCCCCCCCCCCCGCTCCCCCGCCGCAGGCCAGGTCCCCCGCGCGAGGTGCGGTCCACCGTGTGCATGGGATTGCGACCGCCCCTGTGGTCCTGGGAAAACATTTCCCGAACTCACTTCCTCCGGACATTTCCGATCCTTCCTTCCTGCACTTTCTAATAATCCACTTGTCGTCGCGTGGCATTCCCGCCTGCGTTGCCTTTTTATGGTCCGCGATTGTAAGGAGACGAATAAAAGGCGCGCATATGTGTGCACAGGCACCTCCATTCCGAGGGCAAAAGGCTGAAGTGGAGACCTTCACTAATGGGGAGAAAGAAACTCTTCCAGGCGGGAAAAAGGACGAGCCCCGGCGGCTGTTTCCGCCCGGTTTCGAACCGGGGACCTTTCGCGTGTTAGGCGAACGTGATAACCACTACACTACGGAAACGGGCAGGAGCAAGTCCTTTCCCTGAGTCCTATAGGGTGTAGGCCGCCGTCACCGCCCAGGCCTGCAGAGTCCGGGAATATAAATACCCCGGGGTCCCTGGGTAACGATTTTTATCCAACTGTAGAGCGCGACCCGTTAATGGGTCGGGAAATCAGTCACGTTCAGTAATAAAAAAAAGAAAAAAGAAAAAAATTGTGAACAAAAGCAGCGGGCCTCGCAGAAGGGAAGGTAAAATGTAGCTTCGAAGACTTGAGCCTGGTTAACTCTGTCCATTACTGTGTTTATGGTTCTAGGCCCTGGTTCTGTGGATCTGATAATCCAGATGGCTACTAACTGACTAACCAGGGGTGGCATATATAGAATCTATTGTAGGGAGACGGTTGCAAGGTTTAAATTTTCACATAACTTGTTCCCTATTGACAGTTAAGATCTAAAGAATTAAAACACACAAAACACGCCTGTCTAAGCGTGGTTTAGTGGGTGAGCATTGACCCATAAACCACGAGATGCTGGCCAGGACATATTCCCGGGCTGTGGGGCCCCATCCCCAGCTAAAGAGCCTGCAGGAGGCAGTTGGTTAATGACGCTCTCATCTTTGATGTTTCTATTCTCCCTTCCTCTCTGAAATCAATAAAAATATGTTCACACAGATTGTCAAACTGCAGCGGGAAGGCCGGGGAGGGTTGGGGGGCAGGAGGGAGGGGGGTAAGAGATCAACCGAAGGACTTGTATGCATGCATATGAGCATAACCAATGGACATAAGACACTGGGGGGTAGGGGAAGCCGGGGTATTGTCAAGGGCGGGGAAAAAAAAGGACACATATGTAATACCCTTTGTAATGCTTTAAGCAATAAAAAAATAATAATAAATAAAAATATGTTAAAGAAGCACAAAATGCACTCAAAGTATATGAAATTTGAGTATATCTTCATCGAAATGTAAATTAAAATAAATACAAATAGGTAAAAATGAAATTAATTTTACACATGCTTTCAAAATAATTATATATTTCTTATAAGTTATATAAAATTATCTGTTTTAAGAGAGGAGATTGAAATGAATGAATATCAAATTTTAAGTCAGTGATATTTCAGTAAAGCTAAAATTTTATTAAATTTTGAAAACTTAATGAAATCTTTTAAGTATTTTATAAAAATAAAACTCATCAACCCTAGCATCTAATGTACAGAATTGGGATGCGTTTTAATGTATGTTATACGTGGATCTACATATAAGCAAACTTAAAAGTAGTAATGATGGCTTAATATTGCAAAATATTACGCTTATTTCTGTGGAACCAGGAATAGGAACAGAGGCTGAGCCCGATGGAGTAAGAATCCTTGATGTGTAGTCAAATCACGGGGAACCCGCAGGGGTCCCGGTCCATGGATGCGTTACCGCTGTCCTTTACTCCAACATCATTGGATTCTACAGCCCGGCCCCCACCCCTTTCGGCCCATTTCGACTCCCTTGGCCTTGGTGGAAGCTCACCTGCTGCCTCTCCTCCTCCTCCAACTCCTCCACCATCTACCAGAAGCCATCTCCCTGGGCAGTCAGAGTCCCCCTCACAGCTTGACCCAACCTTTATCCCCACATCTGTGGCTCCAGCAATGACGGCTTTCCCCAAGCTTCAGATCCACGCGTCCTGGAAATGTCCCCCTGGGCTTCTCCCAACCTGTTCAAGGTTGCCCTCATTACAGTAGCACCCACTTGTTTGCAGGGCTATATCCCCAGACCCCCACTGGACGCCTGGAACCAGAACTATGCTTTTTCCTGTGCGCACATAGGAACGTAGAGGAAGTACACGTGCATATCCGAATGGCCAGCACTAGCACTCTTGCACCTTAGGGCCATTATTAAGTAAGATAAGGGCGACTTGAACACAAGCACTTCAATACCCTAACATGGGATCTGATAACCCAGATGGCTACTAACTGACTAACCAGGGCTGGCATATAAAGCTTGGAGCCCGTGGACAAAGGGACGATCCACGTCCTGGGCCAGAGGGATTGACATGGCATGAGAATGGCGAACAATTTAAAACATGTTTATTTCTGGAATTTTCCATTTAATATTTTGGGATCATGGTTGACCCCGAATAACTGAAGCCAGGGAAAGCAGAACTGCTGACAAGGGGGCTGACCGCACCTGTCTCTCCTCTGTCACTCCCCACTCCCAACGCTCAGTCTCTGATCTTGGTTATTAAACCACCTAAAGCGGAAACCTGGGAGCTTCTCTCCTGCCCGGGTTCAAACCGGGCATCGAGCTCCTTCACCTGCGGCCGCCTGGGCCCTTCCTCAGCCTCCTGTGGCCTGGCCTCCAGCGGTCCGTTCCAGCCCCTCCCCCCGAGGCAGCCGCACGCCCCGCACACCTGCGGCTCACCATGGCCGAAGGATCCCTCTAAGATGGAAATCAGAGCGATCCCGCTGCCTCTGCGCCTGTCACCATCGCTCAGGATAAAAACCAAACACCCTCCCGAGCGTTGGCTGAACGTCTGAACCGATGGCCTTGACTCCTTTGTGCCAAGAGTAGTGAGGGTCGCCACTCGGAGCGGGGATTTCAAACTGAGCCTGGCCGGAGGGGCTGCGGTGGGAGGAGCGGCCCGGAGAGAAAAGCAGGAATTGTAGTCAAAAGCTCCAGGGAGCCCTCTGTGTCCTGGGAGACCGGGACGCGAAGCCCGTCCGTTATGTTTTCCCTTTAATTAAAAAGCCAACATTTTACAAGGAATGTTTTCCAGTCCCAGTGAAGGTGATCGGTGTGACAATCACCTTCCTCGACATGATGGGGTGAGGAAGGGACCGTAGAGGTAGAAACGAGACGAAAAAGAGACCGTTGTTTCCGCCCGGTTTCGAACCGGGGACCTTTCGCGTGTGAGGCGAACGTGATAACCACTACACTACGGAAACCGCTGCTCCCGGAGCCCGGCGGACACCGCCCTGAATCCACCCGCGGCCGGCGGCGGGGCGACAGGACGCCAAGCTCCGGGGACAGTGAGCTCCCCGCGCCGCCGCCCGAGCTGCGCGCAGGGGTCGTGGCCGCAGTTTCTGGCCACCGCAGGGCTCGCCGCTCCCGGGCGGCCTCGGGCAGCCCACCCACCGGGGTGCGCGGTCTGGGCCGCACCCCCTTAGGAGGCACAGGTCCCCCTGGAGCGCCCCCACCCGCACCCCCCGCACCCCGCAGCGCCGGCACTCACGGGGGGTTCCGTACAGGAACAATGGCCCTGTAACTTCCACGCAGTCTTTTTAAAAAATTAAACGACACATTTTATTTTATATTTTTCTAAATAAAACAACACATTTTTAAAAAGCTTCATGTATCACAGTATTGCTCTCGCACAAATACTCTACGGGCCAGAGACGCTAACGGCGACATCTCACGCAGCGCTACCGCCTGGATAGACCTTCCGAGTAAAACCGACGCCCCAAGCCCGTCCCGAGCCCCCGCGCGGCGGCCGGGACCCACGGAAGCAGATCTCGGGGAGTTCCGGATCGCGCGGAGCAAGAGCGGCGCGCAGCTGACGGAATGGGTGGCACTTAGAAAAGTTTTTTATTTTTCTTTAAGGCAAAACATTCATTGGGTTCGAAATCTAGAAGGTACAGAACGACACAGATGAAAAAAGTACCCTCCCCAGCCGGCCCGTTGGCGCCCGCAGGGCACGTCTGCTCCGGGCGCTCCCCCGGCGACAGCCGCCGCCGCCGAGGCGACCGCGGGGAGCGGCCTCTTAGCACCTCGTCGGGTGCCGCGCAGCACGACACGGGCTCTGGCTGCACAGAGCAAACCCTCTAAGATAGGCTCTGTCATCCTCACTTCATCCGAGCGAACACGGGACTGTGAAAACATCGAGCACACGTCCCACTTCCCGCCTCCCCCACAGAGGGCGGCGCCCCACACACTGCGGGCGCCCCGCCTCTCCCCTCGGTGCGTCTGGAAGTGCCTTCTCCCTCCCGCGCCCCCCTCCCCTCCCCTCCCCTCCCCCTCCCGCGGCGCGCGCCCCCCACACTCCGGGCCCTGACTTGCAGGCAGGGGGAGCCGGGGCGCCGCGCTCGCCCCCCGAAGCCCCCTTTTCCTCGACTCTGCCGAGAGCTGGCAGCACGCCCGCCTCGGTCACCTATTTCCCATGACACGGCTGGCAGCCGGAGCAGAGCACTTGTTGCTTCTCCGGACTAAGCCCTTCCTCTCATAAACGTCATCTTTCTCTCAAAACAGAAAAAGCAGCTTGGAGAGCCCGCCTTTTCACAGTCCGAGCGTCCACCATGTGCATGTGCATGAACGACTTGCCACTCTCTGTCCCTGCGCGGCTGTGCAGTCAGGAACGTGCCTCTAATATTAAATCGAAGCGACCGGGCGGCCGTTTCTGACGTGGGTGCGGGGATGCGCCGGAGTGCGAGGCGGGGAGAGTCTCCGGCCCCACCCACGCGTCCGCAGACCCCGCCCAGGGCGGTCGCCGAGGGGCGCTGGCGCTCCGAGTCCTCACGCGCCCGAGTCCTCAGCCTAGAAGGGCCGGAAGTACTGTAGGACGCTCCCCGGGGCCCGCCCCTCTGCTTCCGGCAGCAGCTGTGAGGAGTGCTGGCTGCAATCTTTGGTGCCCGGCCGGTAGGATGGCGCCGGGCCGACGCGGTCACAGCACCGACAGCGGACGGCCACGAAGGGTTCCATCGTCTCCCGACATTTCTCCTCAGGGGCGGGGGCTGGGAGTGGCCGGTCTTTCTGCTTCGTCTGCGTTGCTCCCGCCCCCGCACCACCGAGATGCGGGCCTCCGTCGTCCTAGCCCTGCCGCCCTCTTCCCGAGTGGATGCTAGAGCGTCTCCTCGTCGCTTCCTGTCGCCCGCGCCGGGGCGGGAAGGGGGCGTTGCGCGATCGCGGAAGGAACTCGCTCGCTGGGTGGCTTGTAGGTACCGGAAGTGTTGGGAGGGAGAACGGAAGTGAGGGGGCGGAGCCAGGAAGTGAGGCGGGGCGGGGGTTTATGAGGAGGCCCGGAGAGCGTTGGGGGCAGATTTGCACTCAGGGCCACCTGAGGGGCTGGGCGCCAGCGCTCCCCTGTGTTCTCTCCCGTGGCGGAGACACGTCTGTTGTCTGGGCGAAGGGACCTGTGTGGAGGGTGGGTTGTCGGGAGGGCAGTTCTCTACCTGCGCCCGAGGCGAGGTGTGGAGAGGCAGGGCTGGGGGTGGGGCCGGGTCGTCAGGGCGTCTGAGAGGGAAGACCCCCGGCCCCCTACCTTTTACCCTGGCTGAGTGGACACTAAGATGGCTGCCGTTGCCATGGCACCCAACCCCGTGCAGACCCTGCAGGAGGAGGCGGTGTGCGCCATCTGCCTCGATTACTTCACGGACCCCGTGTCCATCGGCTGCGGGCACAACTTCTGCCGCGTGTGTGTGACCCAGCTGTGGGGAGGGGAGGATGAGGAGGACCGGGACGAGTTAGACCGGGAGGAGGAGGAGGAGAACGGAGGGGACGAGGAGGAAGTGGAGGCTGTGGGGGCCGGCGGGGGCTGGGACACCCCCATGAGGGATGAAGACTACGAGGGCGAGTTGGAGGAAGAGGTCGAGGAGGAGGAGGAAGGAGTGTTCTGGACCGGGGGCCTGGGCGGGTCTGACTGGGACAACATGGACTACGTGTGGGAGGAGGAGGAGGAGGAGGACCTGGACTACTACTTGGACATGGAGGAGGACCTGGGGGTGGGAGGACGAGGAGGACGAGGAGGAGGTGCTGGAGGAGGAGGAGGAGCTGGACCCCGTCTCGTCGCTGCCCCCGCGCCCCCGCGGCGCTGCTTCACCTGCCCCCAGTGCCGGAAGAGCTTCCCGCGGAGGAGCTTCCGCCCCAACCTGCAGCTGGCCAACATGGTCCAGGTCATCCGCCAGATGCACCCCGCGCCGGGCCGGGGCAGCCGCGGGGGCGAGCAGGGCGTCTGCCCCAAACACCAGGAGGCCCTGAAGCTCTTCTGCGAGGTGGACGAGGAGGCCATCTGCGTGGTGTGCCGGGAGTCCCGGAGCCACAAGCAGCACAGCGTGGTGCCGCTGGAGGAGGTGGTGCAGGAGTACAAGGTGAGGGGAGCCGAAGGTGGGGTTCAGCGGGGCGGAGAGGAAGGAAGGGGCTGGGAAAAGGAAAGGTCTCGTGCACCGCAGGGTGATCCTCCTGATGTAAACGCCGTTGGCACCAGGCTTAGAGGGAAGGATCCTGTGCACAGACAGACACAGGGGAGGCCAGGGAGGACTGGCTTTCTCAGGAAATTGGGCAAAGCTGGTGATGCCTGTCACTGGGCTGTGTCTCCCCGGAAAAGCCACTGCTCGTCCACACTTCCGGCCCTCAGTGTAGGAGTGCAGGTGACAGGCCCCCAGGGAGAGGCTTTTACCTTTCTGAATGTCTTTGAACTTTATTTCCTCCAGGACTAAAAGTTAGTATTTATTGAACATACACTGTGTGCTCCAGGCCCTACACTAAGCACTTTTCATGGGCTGTCTCATTGAAAACTCCAAACAACCCTGTGAGTTTGGTATGGTTTCTGTTCCCATTTTACAGACCGGGAAACAGAGTCAGAGAGACTTAAGTAATATGCACAGGGCCACACAGCTGCTAGTCAGTGATGGACTTGGTTATGACCTGCTCCCCTGCCCCTACCCCCACCCCCCACCCCCCCTCTACACTGTTAACAAGGTCACTACCATTTGGATATCTGTTTGTTTGACTTTTCTGACATACAACTTCATCTTGGAGTTTGATTGTATTTTGCTTAATATCTGGCCCCCTACTTTTGATCCTGACTCTTTTTGGACACGGGTAAAGGCGATTTGGCTGTGGGGCAGCCGGCACAAATATCACTACTTAGAGGAGGCCTGGATGTGACCGGGAAGAGGAGCAGGTAGCTTCTGTGTGATTGGCACAGAGCTTTTTCGTTTTATGACGTGTGTTTTCATATCTCCTGATCCCTAGGGTAACCTCGTTTAGGTATTATCATTGCCCCGATTTTAGAATAATCAGCCTAGAGCTTCTCAGCTATAAGTGGTACAGCTAAGACCAACCGATATCCCTTCAGGACAGGTGAACTGTTCCTTCCCCACAGTGATGGTCAAGCCGGGCCGATGGGCCACGTTACTGTGGAGGTTTTCAGAAGTAGAATGGACTTTACCACTAGAGATTCCGAGTCCGTGATGGGAGAGTGTCTTCAGGAAGCCAGCCTGTGATGGGGCTCACTGCATTATAATGTCACCTGCCTTTCAGGCTGTGCAATGTTAGGGGAAGTTGTCAGCTCCTTTTGCTCTTCCTTTTTATATCCCCCCAGTTCCTAGTTAATTCTACCCATCAAACAATGTGTAGCCAGCTTTGTTAGCTGGATCCCGGGGTGGAATATCCAGGAGCATTCCACCCCTTTTTCACGCTCCCTGGCAGGACTTCTGAAGTTTCTGAAACTGGATTTTAATTTGTGTTAACCACATCTATTGAATTCCACTCCAGTAGGCTCTGCCATTTGGGGAGGTCACACAGACACAAATAATCTCACAGTAACTGATCAGCAAATGTCAATACATGAGTTTTATTATATAGAACTAATTTGAGTGATTCCCTTTCTAAGTTATAGGCTATTTTGTAGACAAGGAGTTTGTTTTGTTTAGATACCTACACTGACTGGCACTAGCTTGGCACTGTGTTGTTTTGTAGAAATATTTCTTTATTGAGTAGGTTGTAATATACAAATGCTGTATAAATAAAGCTCCAGAAAAGTTAAAGGTTCTTGAAGATTTTTCTTACGTAGTACTCTATTTGGATTTCTGCTTATGAATTTTTTGTCAACAATTTAGGAAAAATATTAAGTGGAAAATTTAAGCATCATAAATTCTGTATTAGTAGAGTTGAAATTATTGACACTACTGGAGAAAAGTGGAAAGTGATATCAAAAGGCAAAATTCTGTGTAGTTTCTGCTGTTTTCATGTTATGGATCGATTGTAATCTTATTACATAATTTTTGTCTGCAACCACTTACCTGTGCAACTATGGCTTTTTGGCCTGGCTGGCATGGCTCAGTGGTTGAGCATCAACCTGTGAACTAGGAGGTCACAGTTCGATTCCCAGTCAGGGCACATGCCCAGGTTTCGAGCTCTTTCCCCAGTGGGGTGTGCAGGAGGCAGCTGATCAATGATTCTCATCATTGATGTTTCTATCTCTGTCTCCCTCTCCCTTCCTCTCTGAAATCAATAAAAGTATATTAAAAAAAAAAAACACCAACCCAACAACAACGGCCTTTTGTACCGAGTCAGTAACGTCTGTAGTTCAAGGGTCACTGTCAGGTTTTCATTGGCAGCTTAAGGCCTACGTAGGGAATCCTAGGTAACATTTACTGACCTGTTGCTGTGTACCAGACACTGCTAAGCATACTACCCCAGGGGTAGGTTCTGTTATTCCCAATTCCCATTTTAAGGTGAGGAAACTGGAATCATGGCTTGCTTCAGGACACTTGGCTGCATTTAGGATCAGATTGGAGTCTAGGCTTGAGCTTTTCTGCCCTGTGTTACCCCTCAAGGAAAAGGAGGGATAAATGCAGAAGACATAAAAAAGGAAATCAATAGTTTGGGCTAATCTCACCCATTTTGGTCTCTTTATCAGCACTCTGAAGACAAAGACTGCTACAAATGATGGAGCACAGAGCTTAAGTGCATATTTGTTGAGAAGGTTAAGTATTTAGGAGGAGAGGGTTTTTGTTTTTCATTCAGCAAGTGATTGAGTGGGAGAGAAAGCAGATGGACAGGGAGAAACAGGAATGAAAGTGGCCGCCCGGTCCCCAAGAGCCCCTCTGTCCCGGGGAAGGCAGGCACACTTGTAATGATTACCGTGCCTGGGAAGTATCATAGTCCAGAAAAAGACGAGAGATGGCTAACACTAAGAGACCGCAGAAGGGTAGGAACAGGAGGGGAGGCTAGAAATGCAGGGGCAGTTAGAGCCTCATATTTTGCAAGTGGTGGTGAACAACTGATGGATTTTTATCACGTGAAAAGAATCAGCAAAGTGCTTAGAGATGAAGTTATGGGGAAGATTGCTTATGAGGGGACAGGACCACAGGCAGGAACATTCACATGGGAGGACTCTGTGTGGTGAGGTGCTCAACCAGGCACACTCCGCCTGCGAGTGGGGCTCTCTAGTCAGGATCCTACCCTTCGGAAACGCACCCAGGGCTGTGGACAGGAGTGCAGGTGGAGGGTTGGAGCCTCTGCCGTCATCGGAAGAGAAGGAAGAGGAGGATGGGAGTATGATGCTCATTTGGTCACTGTGATGGGGATCAGGCTTTGAGGCCCAACCCCCTGCAGGGAGGATGGGGAGAGCAGGTGCGTCTCCCGCCCAGGCCCTCAGCCTTCCTCTTGCTCTTCCCTCAGGCCAAACTGCAGGGGCACGTGGAACCCCTCAGGAAGCACCTCGAGGCTGTGCAGAAGATGAGAGC